GGTTTGTTCCACAATTGGCCTCAGGCCTTGTTTTGACTGATGATATGGAGCTTTTTCATCATCTCTTTTCGCAGATGTAGTCAATTTGATTTCTGGAGAGGTCCATGAGTATAGTCGTCTCTTATGCTATCTAAGACGGTATGTGAAATGAATAAATCATTGATTTTGCAAAATTCTATCATGCGATCTCTATCAGCATCATTTCTATCACCAAGGCCATGTTTTCCAACTACTGATCCTTCTTTGCTCCCAACCTTTGCATTCTAATCGCTGATAATGATCAAACATCTTGATTGCATATTTGATCAATTTCAGATTGAAGAAGTTGGTAGAATTCTATTTCATCCTCACTGGCTTTAGTGGTGGTTGGTGTGTAAATTTGAATAATAGTGTTATTAACTGGGCTTCCCTGTAGGTGCATAGATATTATCCTATCAAGACAGCTTTGTATCTCATAACTGATCTGGATATGTTCCTTTTGACAAGGAATGCAACACCATTCCTCTTCAATTTGTCATTCTTGGCATAGTAAACCATGTAGTTGTCAGATTCAGAATGGCCAATAACAGTCCATTTCAGCTCAATAATGTCTAAAATATTGATGTTTATGCATTCCATTTTTGACAGTTTCTAATTTTCCTATATTTAGACTTCGTACATTCCATGTTCCAATTATTAATGAATGTTTACAGCTGTTTCTCTTCATTTTGAGTTGTTCCCCATCAGCAAATGAAGGTCCCGTGGGCTTTTCTCCCCACAGCCTTTCCTCCATTTGCGTCATCATGGCTGCAACTTTGAGGAGGCAGCTCTTCCCCAGTGGCATTTTGAGTGCCTTCCAACCTGAGGGGCTCATTTTCTGGCACTATATCTGACAGTGTTTCTTTGCTATCCATAAGGTTTTCAGAGACTAAATATTCAGAAGTAGTTCGTCACTTCTTCTTACTAGTTAAGTCTTCATCTGGAAGCCCCTCTGAAACCTGTCCACCATGGGTGACCCTGCAGGAGTTTAAAATACCAGTGGCATAGCTTCCAGAACTACAGTAACTCACAAGCCACCACAGTACAACAAACTTAAAGACGATTGGTGGACTACAGATATAGCTTCACATAAATGAAATCATACAGCATGTACTCTTTTGTGTGTGGCATTTTTCACTGAACATAATATTTTTGAGATTTATCTATTTTTTTGCTTGTAATAATAGTTTACCATTTTTATGGTCCATTGTATGGATATAACACAGGTCAGTTTAAAAAGCAGTAAGAAATCTGGTATAGTCACAAGTAAACTGTAGAGACACTACTATTCTTGGTTTCCAAAATAAAATCGTATTCAACTATGTGGTTTTCCAGTTCACAGAAAGTCAAGAATAGTCATTTAAAATTGGATCCTTCTAATTCACTTCTCTCACTCCAGACCATTTCTGGGTTGATAATTCACTTTCATGGAATGGAATGAACCAATAATCAAGCACTAGATATAGGAGAACAGATCTATACTTTCATGCTATTGGTTAACATCGTTATTCAATGCAATTAAATGGCATACTTCAAAGTTGTGTGATCTTATTTTTGACTAATTACTTAAAGGTCTATTTTTAGTATTGCTGTTAAGTGCTACTGAGTTGGTTCCGACTCATAACCTGCATAGAGTTTCTGAGGAGCGGCTGGTGAGTTTGAAAGACCCATCTTGCAGTTCAATCCAACCTTGCAGTTCAGTGCACATGAGGACTACAGCTCCACACGAGGACTACAATTTTCAGAATTATTTAACTCTTATTTAAGTCTTAAGAAGCTCTGGTAGTGTAGTGGTTACCAATCAGGTTGCTAATATCACGGTCAGCAGTTTGAAACGACCAGTCGTTCTGCAGGAGAAAGATGAGACTGTCTGCTCCCGTAAAGATTTACAGCCTCAGAAACCCTGTACAGGGTTGCTTTGAGTTGGAACCAACTCAACGGCACATAACAACAACACTGAAGTCTTAAATGGAAGGGTGTGGTTATCATCAACAAAATTAATCCCTGGTTTATAACATATTCAAGTTAAGAAGAACTGCACTTATGATCATCTGCTTTTGTTTCAGTATATTTTATCTTATCATGCAATGGAGTCCTCGTGAGGCACTGTGGGTTAATGCGCTGAACTGCAAAGTCATTTGAATCATAAGGTCGGTGGTTCAAACTCACCAGTCACTCCTTGGAAACCCTACACAGGGATGCTATGGGTCAGAACTGACTCAACAGCACTTAACAATAACAGATCTTATCATCAGTTATATGTAATAAATACAGTGTTGCAGTGCATAATTTGCAAATGTCATCATTCTCAGATATTTAATTCCAGATGTTCAAATATCAGATTTACAAAGATAATGATAATAAAGTTAATAATGATGGGAAAAAAAAGACGTATGCAACTA